AAGCAAGCAGAGGCTATTTGTTACATAAAAGAGGATGAAGAGAGGAAATAGTCCATGCATTTTATTTATAGGTTTTTAACTCATGTGGCGAAGCCTTTCTTGCCTGGTTATCTAGAAAGGCGGACACGACGGGGAAAAGAAGATCGTGCACGTTTAACAGAACGGTATGGGCATGCGACAATTACTCGCCCAGAAGGGGAAATTATTTGGATTCATGCAGCCAGTGTTGGAGAGTCAAAATCTACGCTGTATTTGGTACGAGAGCTTTTGCGATCATACCCCTCTTTGTCTATTCTTGTTACAACGGGGACAAAAAGTTCTGCACAGTTGATGGCAGACCAATTACCAGACAGGGCATTTCATCAGTATGTACCTTTAGATGTTACACAATGGGTGAAAACATTTTTAGATATATGGAAGCCATGTCTTGTATTATGGGTAGAGTCAGAGTTTTGGCCCAATAACTTGTTTGAGATTAAAAAACAAAATATTCCTTTAATTCTTTTAAATGGAAGTGTTTCTGAGAATACTTTTAAAAATTGGTCTCGTTTTTCAGGGCTTATTCGTCCAATTTTAAATTGTTTTACATTTTGCTTTGGGAAGTCTCAACAAGACTTAAAACGTTTGCGTTCTTTGGGAGTTCAGGAAGAAAAGTCTACCTTTGAAGGTAATTTAAAATACGCGGCGTCTCCTTTAATCTTTGATCAAAATACTTTAGATCAGCTTAAACAGTTGATTGGGAAACGCCCAATTTGGCTAGCGGCAAGTACTCATGAAGGGGAAGAGTCTTTGGTAGCGCAGGTTCAAAAAAACCTTAAAAAGGCTTTTCCGGATATTTTAACACTTCTTGCTATTCGTCATCCCCATCGGGCAGAAGATGTAAATTTGCTATTGCAAGGGGAAGGCCTCTCTATTGCTCAACGCTCTTTGGGAGAAGAAATTTCTGAAAAGACAGATGTTTATCTGATTGATACTTTGGGAGAGATGGGGTTGTTTTATGCTTTGTCGCCTATTGTTTGTATGGGAGGGACTTTTGGAAATGTTGGGGGGCATAATATCATAGAACCAGCCCAATTAGACACGGCAATTTGTTTTGGGCCAAATATGTCAAATTTTCAAGAAGTTGCAGATCAATTTGTAGCATTAAAAGCGGCTGTTCGTGTGGAAGATGCTGCTTCATTAGCGGCTTGTATCGAAGGATGGGTGAAGAAACCTTCTGCAGCACGCACAATTTGCCGTCAGGCAAAAGAGCTCAGTTTAACGCAAGGGGATGTTCTTCAAAAAATTATAGAAAAGCTAAAGCCTTATCTCACGCAATCTGAAAAGGAGTAGATTTTGAAGAAAATTTTAAAGGTTGTGCGTGGCCATCCCCCCGATTTTTGGTGGAAAAGGTCGTTAACGTTTTTGGCGATTATACTTGCGCCGATTAGCATACTTTATCGTCT